TAATAATAATAATAATAAACGAATCTTTAGACAGGATTAACCCATCAGTACTATAAAGTACTGTTATCAAAGGGGTCCTGTAAGATTTAAAAATTTTAAAATTTAAAAAAGGTAAAAAGTTAAAAAGGCAAAACTACGTACATTGGAAAACATATAAAAAGTCACGATTAATAATTACAAATAAAAATGTTCGTCGGCCTTTTGCCTAAATAAAAGCCTTTCGGAAGTGTGTGGTTTAATTGGTATTTTTCGATGGCTGTTTGTCTGGATAAATAATCAGGAGATTTAAAAGTAAGATTTTGAAACCAGCTGGTCTTGGCAATTTTCAGCGAAAGATGTTTCAAAGCGCGCACAATCCAGAATGGGGTTGTGTCCTGGTGTACAGAGGGAATAACCATAGTACTCCTTTCTTTGCGAACCTTTGTTTAGCTGTTGAAGATTTTTGGGTCTTTTGTATCGGTTCATGTGAACCGGTACACGAGGACAGCACCGAGAAAGGATTGGCTAGAAGCCGGCTTCATTACAATTGAGTCTCTAAAAGTTTTTTTTCCTCTACATTATTGTCTAAATTAAGCTGATTTATCAACTGTTACAGTTTCGGATATTTGCATGTTGTTTTGCGCTTCATAAGATATGATCAAGAAAATTTCTCTCATGTCTGAACTATGGTTAGGGTCGCAAAATTAAAATTCTGTCGTACTTAAACAGACGCGATGAAAGTTATTAAAATTGTTGTTTTGTGTAAATATCAATCCCCCGATGTTTGGTAGTGGAAATTTGCAAATGAAATGGAAACATTGTAATTGATGTTATTATCTAAGAACGAATGAATTCCTATTGAGTATTTCAGCCTCTTTACAATCTATTTCTTGCTCGAACGAACTGAGGGACTGTATTCAGTTTCTCAGACTTTGAGAATCGAGATAAGTTATTTCGGTTAAACCAGTCGCGAGCGTAAAATTTCATCAATCAAGATGGTTTTTATTTTGCATACTATTTAATTTGAATTTGACATGCACACGTATTGTTTTCGCCGCAGACGCTTAGAGGAATCAACTTGTCTCCAACATGCAAGCAATGAACATTTCTGATGCATCACAACCCTGCCTCGACTCAACTCTATCCTTGGAGCTGGCTAGCTTCAAGTTATCGTCAACATTGCATGGTTTTCTCCTTGCCATCTGCATTACAAATGGACTGTTGTCGGTTTTAGCTACCGTCGGGAACGCTCTTGTGTTAATAATCATCCTCAAGTTCCCATCTCTTCGGACTCTCTCCAACATACTTATATTCTCACTTGCTCTTATAGACGTGTTAGTTGGTGTGGTTGTGCAACCCTCCTTCGTAGTGTACATCGCTGGCAAAATCAACCTTGAGTTTTACTGCGGAGCGCTTCTTGCGTACTTATACACCGAAATATTTTGCGTGGGACTTTCCTTGATCACATTGAGTCTAATAGCCTGTGAGAGGTTCTTCGCCATAGTTTACCCTTTCAAGTACATCAACTACATGACGAAACCTCGATTGATAACCATTGTGGTTGCAGTTTGGGCAGTGTGGTTTTTATTCAATGTTATTTGCAGAACTTTGAGAGTGAAAAATGACGAATTTTTCTCTCCCATTGCCTCAGCTGTTATTGGCTTCAGTCTGATTTTGAACATAGCTTTGTACTTTAAAATATTCAAAATAATAAGGCGACATGAGAGACAAATTAACGCACAGAACCTAGTGAACAGAGCGATTCGCGCGCGCGACTCGCGCAAAGATGACACCGGCAATAGCTCTGCACAGGAGTCAACCTTGAGCTCAAGGGAAACGCATATGGCTCGAACTGTGGCATATATTACAGGCGTGCTTGTTCTTTGTTATTTACTTCTCATGGTCACGTCGTTCGCCGACATGCTGATCGAAGACGATGCACTTTTTGATCATTTGTTATACCCTTTGGCGGAGACAATCACGTTTTTTAATTCTTCTCTCAACCCGTTTCTATATTGCTGGCGTTGTCGAGACCTCAGGGAGAAAATTTGGCTGGTCTTAAAAGGGTCAAAATACTCAACTAGCAGCAAACACAGCAGTCGACGAAGTGTTGAACAAAAACAATCTACAGAGAGAGAGACTTCCACAAGGAGAGAGGAGCGTGTCTGAAAAATCATCAGCGAAGATGCACTTGAGGAGGGGAGCGTGTCTGAAAATCATCAGCGAAGACGCACTTGAGGAGGGGAGCGTGTCTGAAAAATCATCAGCAAAGACGCACTTGAGGAGGGGAGCGTGTCTGGAAATCATCAGCGAAGACGCACTTGAGGAGGGGAGCGTGTCTGAAAAATCATTAACGAAGATGCACTTGCATTGGAAAGCCTTGGAATGGTGGTGTTTTGCAAACGGTTTTAAACTTGAACTAATCAATGCAACAACTTCACTTTCCCTATAGTACGTAGAGGTAAACCGAATTCACAACGTCAATTGTTAAGTACACATAGCTTGAATTCACTTTCAATGGGGTGAAAAATGATTGACTGGAGAAAGATTCGAGGAACGTACGACAAGTTATATAAATGATTAGGTGAATTCAGCGTTGCAATTTTCACACATATTTCAAAGTCTTCAAAAGCCGTCGAAATATCACTATTAGACTTTCGATGATTGCGTTTTCCTTTCAGGTGGAATATGTATGGATGGCATGTACATGTAAGGTCGCTGTTTATATTTTTCTCCATCTTACCCACTGCGATATACCATAATTATTCTCCATTGATATATAATACTACTGCAAAATTTAATGACAAAAATATTATGACTAGAGATAGTCGTAACTTAAACTTAACCATACGTCCTAGAAATGAAATGTATATGGCCAATCAAGGCCGAGGGTAATTCTCTTACATCAGAATTAAGGCTCTACTTCCAGGAATCTTAAAGTGAATTGTAGAAGTAAACAGGTAATAGGTGATAAAGATTCGCGGCAAGTAGAAATTTCCGGTTTTTTTTTGTTTTTTTGGGGGGNATTACCAATATTTTACTAAATGCAACACCTTGCGAACGAACATCTGAGCACCTTTCGGCTAAAAGCACGAAATACGGGTGTTAGCAATTCTAGAAATTTTTTTTTTTTTTTTTTTTTTGGGGGGGGGGGGGGGGGGGTGGGGTGGGGGGGGTCAAGTCCAGCCATAGTATCTTCGATAAGGTTATACCGAATCGTATGCTCTCGTGTGTGCACTTATTCAAATTTTACTGAGTTGACCAACTCAACGTCAATACATGGTGCAAAACTATCTCGCCTGACATCGTTTTTCTTATGTTCTTGAAGATACAGTAAGTATGCCTGTGCTACGAAGGAACGCTCAATTCAGGAAGTACTGTAGAAATTGTGACTTTCAACGTTAACTTCATTACAATGGTGGTGGAGTGCACGTTTGTCTGTCACCGTTGAAAGAACAAAACGACAACTCCTGCCAAGCTGAACTCCAGCATTTAACTACTAGTTGTGTTTCTTTGTAGTCGGGTTAGCTTTTGATTCTAAATATCCTATGGTAGAAAAGGCTGTTTTTACACGATACCAACCAAGCAAGACGCATGTGAGAGTTGCGCGAGGCGACTGCAAGGAACTTGAGGCGAGCACGCTCCGCGCGCGGTGGAAAAGGAGGCTTTAAAACTATCAAGAGAAATCACCTCTCTCGCTCTCTCCTCTCTCCTACATTTTCCCCCGCCCAACCCGCCCTCCAGCTCTCTCTTTCTCACTCTTCTTCCAGCAAGACGATTGTGCTCGAGTTTTTAAGAGGAGTGGGGAATATCTTAATATGATGTCTTATTTTCACCATTACGTCTCCAAAAATATTATTGCTATGAAAATGAAACGTTGAATGGCTGTGTGTACTGCACCTGAGAGTGTATACAGTTTAATGAAAGTCGCGTGATATCGCCATATCGCGCAAATCAATGCAGACAATTTGTGCCCGGGTCAAAATAGTCTAACCTGGGTTAAGGTGGTCTTATACCCTCAGATATTAATTTTTCTAAAACAAAAAAAAAACATTTTTTCGAAACACGAAGATTCGACATGTCTGACCATTGGCTAAACTTATTTTGAAACGATTATGCTCTAATTGCTCCTTGATTTACGTTTAAATTAAGAAATCTGCACGCTGGTAGCTATATTTCAACCTAGCAAGGCCCATAGCAACGGTTGTTTGCAGTCCAAAAGCAGTTACAACATTGATTCATTTCATAAATACTCTTTTTCTTTGGCCATCGTGGCTTGATAAGAAATAACACGCAAACTGCGGTGATAAACATGGCAATAAAACACATGTTAAAAAACAAAGTTCATTTACTTGACGTTTCGTATGTTTCAACATACATCTTTAGAAGTGACCGTTAGGAATAGAAGTAACAACTAATTTACAATTTAAAATAAGTAAATAATTGTTTTTTAACATGCGTTTTATTGCCATGTTTATCACTGCAGTTTGCGTGGATTCAACTCAGTACATTTTAATTATACTTTACAGAAGAGCTTTAAAGATGTGTACGAGAGGGAAATTACACCAAGATAAAAAAAATCTGGGGTTTTCAACACCGGATTGAAGCTAACCTGTGAACAGGCTCCCGGCGAGGACGGAAAAAAATTTCGCTAGATCGGCGAGCGCGAAACAGAACAATTCGGAGAGCAAAGCGATCGTGGGAGCCTGTTCGCAGGCTAGATTGAAGCTAGTGGTGAATGATTCTTAACATAATAAATGATGGCACACATCACGCTTTTTGTTTCATTTCTCACTGTAAACCATTGCGCGCCTAAATATGGCACTGTTTTAAAGACCGAAGTATCGCGTTCCTTCAAAGAATTTCAGTCATAAAAACTCATTTTTGCGGATTTTCCTGTATTTCATTTAAACAACAAAACAGTCCACATTGATACCAAGAGTTTGTTGCTTCCCATTTTATTCCTCGAGCGTCGACATTTTGAGAGGAAAACGAGATAAAAAGACCGTGTTGTTATTGTTCTTCATTGTCGAAAGTGACATGAAAACTGGCTACATATATATAAGTCTATTGACTGGGTGTCCTGTGCGATACGGATCATTGATATTCACCAGTTGCAAATTTATAAGCAATCATTTATAATATATGCAGAACTAGTAAAGCAAACTCACGCAATCAAAGTCTCATTTGCATCTGAAGTGGAATTGTACTGAATACGTTCTTGTTTGACTAATATTTTTATTCATCTCTCGCCCTGAGACATGGCACCAGTTGAAGGCAACGAAGGTGAAGAACTGGTCGATGGAAATGACAATGGTACACCAGCAAAAGACGACAGCGAGCGAGTCATTACAGTCGTGGCGTTTTTCTCGTTCGGGTTTATCTTGTATTCGGTTTACTCGCTGCTGATAGCTGCCGCTGAAGATATCTTGAGGGGCAGTGATATTCCAACCTCGGCTGTTATTTCATGTATTATCGGACCGTATGTGTTGATAACTCTCGTGTCGCCTTATTTTGTTCAGAAGATCCCGTACCTGCCTCGCATTATCGTGGTGTTTGTCTTGTACGAAGTTGGCTTGTTCTGTTTGGTTTACGTGTCGCGTGTTGAGACGAAGCTGCTTTCTGTGTGCTTGGTGTCTCTCGCGTTCGGTGTGGGAGAGATGTCGAGCATAGCCATGACATCGTTCTATAATAAAGTTATTGTCGGAGTGTTTTCAGCTGGGACTGGTGTCGGATTCATTACAGCTCCTCTTTATTACACAGGTTAGTAATGTCGTACTTCTGATAAAGAGGACAGTTGTCTAAGTCGCTCTATGTGAAGCTCGTAGTCAAGCCATTAAAAATGCGTATAAATCGATCGCAATCGAACGAAAGATTAAGGGCCTGATTGCATGGCGAATTTCAGCCCGGCTAGGGGGCGCTGAAATTTTGTTGCGATATAAACATAACGAATTTCAGCCCGGGCTGAAATATTAGCCTCGGCGCCAAATATGAA